CCCCCGTACGCCCTACTAGATTAGTGACATTACGATGACCATCCCAATCGCCGAACTCACTGCAGAGCAGGATGCTACGAGACCCAGCATTTCGATACCTGCATCAGCCAAAGCAGTACTTGCCGCGATCGACCCAGAAGCTATGCAACCCTCAATCCCATCATTTTCTATAACAACGATGAAGACGTCAATCGTGGATTTCGGAAAAAGTTCCAAACATATGGACGAAACAATAGATTGATGAACCGCGGTGGCAACAGCTCTGTCTTCTGCATCCTTCGGAGGCTAGTCAATCAGCGAGTCAGAAAGTCACGTCAGACACGTACGCGAAGTGGGGATCTCCTTTTTACGCAAGAGAAGGGCGCAAATTTGACTTCCACGTTCAGTCGACCCCTTTCACTATACGTTGTCGTTTTGGACTGTCGCGGTCCGTACCTGGAACGAAGCCAAAGTAAACCCTATGAAGGTTGCTGTAGAGTACGATACACGAACACCGCGCATGCGAGCTTAGTTTTCTCTGTTTCGATGTATGCAGAGCCATTTGCCTGACTCACCAGTCCCGGCTGTAAAACTGGATCAAGAAGTCGTCAACGCCGAGTGATCAGCACAACAATGTCGTACAGATAGGTCGTATGTCCGCCAGTCCTCGACTGCGCTTCATCATCCACCCAAGCTCACCGTCATCCTCGTCGTCGAATACAGGCGAAAACGATTCCTCAGGTCCATTAACGCGTCTCCGGTCGAAAGTGCTCTGTGCCATCGGTCAAGTTGAGAGGAACAAATCTGCTTACGTAATCCTCCGCCTTCATGAAGTTCTCCCTCACCCTCACCAACAAGTGCGCGAAGCCCGTCGGGACAGCCCCACCCCTCAAACCCTTCGCATCACTCGACGACGATGTGTCTGTTGACGCCGCACCAACCGCAACAGACAACAAGAATGTCTCTGCAAACAAAAAGTTGATTGCTCAGAACGTCGAGTCCTCCAAGGCCGCGCAGAAGCGCATGGAGAAAGAGCTCAAACTAGACCCCACGACGTACCAATATGACGAAGTATGGGATGTGATTCAGGACGTCAAACAAAAACAGAAGGAAACCAAGAAAACGGATGTAAAAGTGAGTGTATCCCATGAATTCGATCGCCGTTGGCATTTCATCATGTACTCTGCTTAGCCGAAATATATCGAAGGATTGCTGACTTCCGCTGCAACTCGCAGACTAGACCGCCTGAGAGCCGAGGAAAAGATGCTGCAGCACGAACGGCAGATGGAAGGGGATGAATTTGCAGATAAGGAATCATTCGTCACGCAAGCTTACAAGGATCAAATGGAAGAGGTCCGGAAAGCTGAGGAAGAAGAAAGACAACGCGAAGGTACTATTTTTATACCTCTCTCATGCTCTACCTTGACTGAAAACCAGGCTTAGAGGCCGAGAAGAAGAAAAAGAAAGGGCTAACGACTGGCATGGCTCACTTTTATCGCAAGCTACTCGAAGAGTCTGAGCAACAACATGAAGAGGCCGTTGCAGCTGCGTCTGCACCAAAACGGATCATCGGTCCTCAGGGTCCAAACCTAACGATCACCAAACCACCCGACATGACACCGAGGTCTGACCTTGAATTGGCACGAATAGCACAAGAACAGGGCAAGGACGTGGAACTCAATGACGACAACGTGATTGTTGACAAGCGTGAACTCCTTTCGGCTGGCCTCAATCTCGCTGCACCAAACACGCGACGCCTGGGCCTACAGCAGCCTCTGCGGAAAGTGGGACAAGATGAATCCGCACCGTCTGTACACAGAGGTGTTGGCACAGCTGCAAGTAGAAGAGAGGTCAACGAGCGACGAGCACGGGAGGTGCTCCGCCAAATGGAAGAGGAACGGGAACGGTTAGTGAAAGAGAAAGCAAAGGCAGAAGAGGAAGCCACGCAGAGAGTGGCAGAGAAGAGAAACTCAGAGTACGACATCCAGGATGCAAGGTCGCGGTACTTGGAGAGGAAACGGCGAAGATTGGAGGAGGGGGAGCAAGTCGCAGCCCATACCCAGTAGTGTTATGTACTTACGTCAGCATTAATTATCCCTTTTGCCCAAGATTGTGTAGACTCGGATGTGGCGAGTCAGACTTGCCATATCCCTGTCCCATACCCACATCGGTGCCCGCCTAGCCCACACTGCGGCCATGGCCAGTGTAAACAGGACTGCTCACCCGTTCGACAAGAGCCGCCTAGAGGCTCTCCTCAATCGTCGGTTCTTCTACGCCCCTGCGTTCGAGATCTACGGAGGCAGGTCTCTCACCTCGCTCTCCTTTGCCCAACTAATCCACACTTCCAGGCGTAGCCGGGTTATATGACTACGGTCCCCCTGGTTCTTCCCTTCAAGCCAACATCATCGCCGAGTGGCGTCGACATTTCATCGTGGAAGATCACATGCTTGAGCTTGATACCACGATCATGACACCTGCACCGGTTTTCGAGACTTCTGGTCACGTCGCTCGCTTCGCTGACTGGATGGTGAAGGATGAAAAAACTGGAGACGTCCTTCGTGCCGATCACCTTGTAAAAAACGTCCTCCAGGCGAGACTCGCAGGAAACTTGGAGGCAAGGGGCCTTGCAAATGACAAAGACAAGGGCAAGGACGACGAGAAGAAGAAAAAGAAAAAGATCAAGACGGCTGCCGTGCAGTTGCCGGATGAGACCGTGGAGGAGTACGAAGGCATCCTCGCTCGGGTGCGTTCTCTGTCATCTCCCTGATGGTTGTGTTTGACGCGTTCGCTATGTGTTGGGTAACTTAGTTAGACAATTATTCTGGACCAGAGCTAGGTCAGTTGTGCAAGAGTCACGATATCCGCAACCCGGACACCGGAAACCAGGTCGGCGAACCTCAGCAGTTCAATCTGATGTTCGCAAGTAGCATCGGTCCTACCGGTCAACATCCCGGGTATGGTCTCGTGATCTCCTTTCACCATGTCATTGATGGTTCCTTCTCAGCTTCCTCCGCCCGGAAACCGCACAGGGTCACTTTCTCAACTTTTCGCGCTTGCTCGAATTCAACAACGGCCGAGTTCCTTTTGCATCTGCCCAGATCGGGAGGTCATTCAGGAACGAAATCTCTCCGCGCGCTGGTCTCCTTCGGGTGCGCGAGTTCACTATGGGCGAGATCGAACACTACGTCGATCCCGACAATAAAAGCCATGTCCGATTCGGCGATATTCGTCATATCGTACTCCCCCTTCTCGACCGCTCTGTACAGCTATCTGGGTCCGTCCAAGTAACCCAAATGTCCATCGGTGAAGCTGTCGATAGGGGCATCGTAGCTAACGAAACTCTAGGCTATTTCATTGCCCGTATCCACCTCTTCTTGCTCAAGATTGGCATCGACCCGCGAAGACTAAGATTCAGGCAACACATGGCGAACGAGATGGCACACTATGCAACGGATTGCTGGGACGCCGAAATCGAGAATTCTTCGGGCTGGACAGAGTGCGTCGGCTGTGCCGACCGCGCTGCTTACGATCTTTCCGTTCATTCGGCGCGCACTGGGCACCCACTCGTTGTCCGTCAAGCCCTCAAAGAGCCAATAGTTACCGAGCGAGAGGTACCTGAGTTCAACAAAAAAACCCTTGGAAAGACGCTTGGTCGTGATGCTGGTCTAGTGCAACGTGTTGTTGGGGAGATGAGTCAAGAAGAGCTTGTCAGGTTGAAAGGAGAATTATCCCAGGGGTGAGCCTCATCAGCAAATCGTATTTTTCCTAATGCTAGATACCATATCCTTCTTTGTTGTCCGTGGACAGGTCGACGACGATATCTGCGGACGAGAGACAAATTATTCTCACTCCTCAGCTACTCACAATAGAACGAAGGACGTTTAAACAATCTAGTGAGTTTTTTCTAACCGCTCTTCCCCCTGTCAGATCTGAATATGCTTTAAGTCCGCGAATTCACTCCAAACGTTATCGAGCCCTCGTTTGGCTTTGGACGGATTCTATATTCGCTTCTTGAGCACTCTTTTTGGTGCAGGGAACAGGATGTCGAACGAGGTGTAAGGGTTCACGTGTTGCTCTTGCGATCGCCATGATGCACAACATACATTTAGGTTCTCTCGCTGCCCCCTCTAGTTGCGCCGACAAAAGTCCTTATAGTACCTCTGAGTGCGAAGGAAGAATTCGACCCACTTATCGCGGAAGTCTGTGCGTACTTCGTCAACTTCACGCCGAACCTGCGCTCACATAAGATCCAGCTACAAAACTCCGTAGAGGTGGTATATTCTCCCGCGTCGACGATTCCAATACTTCGATCGGAAAACGGTATGCCCGCAATGATGAGCTTGGCACGCCATTTGGTGTCACGCTCGATTTCGCCTGTAAGTGGCCCGTCACTGAAAGAACGCAGGCTGACTTAACCATAAAACTCGCAGCACTTCAAAACCGGACGATGACACTCCGGTAAGTCATATATGGATTTCCTCTATTCCAGAGCACCGACACGTCATTAACACATTTGTCTTTCGATGACAGTGAACGGGATACGACCGACCAACTCATAGGTTCTATCGACGACGTCATCGCGGTAGTAACGGATCTGGTCCAGGGAACACTCACTTGGGGAGACGCATGTACACGCCTCAAGGCATACGACGGTGTGCAAGCCGTCGAGTAGACTCATGTATATAGTCTCTTCTAAAGCTCATTTATTTGAGTCCGTAGAATAGACCACCGTCTATAATGTGCAAGTGAAGCATGGAACGTCGTAGATGCAAACAGAGGAGTCAAATGGCATTGCAAGTATATGACGAAATGCTTTGAGCGGGAAGTTAGCTCCTAGACTGGAGTCCAGGCGTGTCTGGCAAACTGGCAGCTGCTGTCGTGATTCCAATCGCACACGTGCTGCTGGGCCAGACCAGCTAAACCGCTAAAATTGTGAGGTAGGCACAGGCGGACATAATCCCCGGAGGATAGTTTCCAAGGCTTCGAGCTTTGCAGTGTTGTGGCGTGGCCCGGAAAAAGGTAGGTCTTGCCAGGGTTCGAACCTGGGTTTCGGGAAAGTGTCCAGTGAGTCAAAATCCCGAGTGATAACCACTACACTACAAAACCACGGCACCACTAGCATTGTCTTGTATATTACTGCGGTATTACCCTGGTCGTACTCCTGAGTACCGAGTCTACTGACCACACATGAGTCGAAGAGGATTGTGGGACTTACTGAAGCGAGAGAGCAAAAACAAAAGGTAAGTGTAAGGAGACACTTGGCAAAAAGCTGGTGAGCCGACTGGGAATCGGCGGTCGAGGAAAAACGAAAAGGTAAGTACGAGAAGGTAGTCCAGAAAGGAATGACAGTCGACTGCGTGAACCTGGACGAGAGAGGGCAAAGTAGCACGTCCCCTTCCATGGGTAGAGTAAAGGACGTCAACAACCTGCGTTCCGGTAATAAATTGGTCCACGGAAGTACCTGGGGCTGAAGTACCAGTGAAACTACGGTGCTCAGATTGTGTAGTACGTAATGTAATGTTGCTGTGAGGTGGCGCGTACGGTATTAGCAATTTAGCAACGACTTGCGCGGCTCGCACTCGGTCAATTCTTGGTGACCTGTCGCCAAGGTGCATCCTACACCGTCTATCTCGATTGCAGTCCGCTCGGGGACACGTCAACTTTACCATGGACAGCGAGGAATCTTTCGTCGCCTTGGTCAACACTGCTAACCCTGCAGCCTACAAGTCCGCCTCGCTTGCTCAAGGGTCAAGCAGTCATCATCCTCCTACTTATCCACCATACGCAAATACACAGTCCCAGCCTCAACCCGCGCCCAGTCTGATGGATCCTTTCTTCGATGATGAGGAAGATCTTCTGGACTTGTCTCCGGTCACCACTCCACGTCCAATGCAGTCCCAGGAGAGCGGTCTTCCTCTCACCCATGCAGCTGCTCCACCCTCTGGGTTAGACTCGCCATCCCACTCGCTATCCACCCACGGTGCTGGGCAACCACACGGTTGGAATTTCGAGAGTCAGGCTACCTTTCCGGGAGGCGCGACATTTCCAGGGGCACCGCCTACCCAGAGGAAACATACGGTGCGCAGGCGAAAGAAGTGGAAGTGGAGATGGCCTTGGGAGAAGGAGGTACAACCTACAGGCGAACGTGTAATTGTCCTCAACAATCCTGCTATGAATATCGATTTTTGCTCGAACTTCGTGTCGACGAGCAAGTATAATGTCGTGACATTTACCCCAAAGTTTCTCAAAGGTAGGTTTGAGTTCTTGGTCCGATTCGCATTTGCTTATGCTATATGCAGAGCAATTCTCCAAGTATGCAAACGTGTTCTTCTTGTTTACTGCCTGTATACAACAAATACCTGGTGTCTCTCCGACCAACCAGTATACTACTATCGCCCCATTAGCCGTCGTGCTCCTTGCCTCTGCTTTCAAGGAAGTACAGGAGGACATGGTTTGTGCCTTCTTCGTCACCAGAAATATTGATCTTAACACTTTCCCAGAAACGCCATCGTTCGGATTCTGAACTCAACGCTCGTGTCGCCAAGGTCTTGAATGAATCATTGGGGTTTGACCCGCGTCCGTGGAGGGATATTCGGGTGGGCGACATCGTCAGAGTTGAATCTGACGAGTTCATTCCCGCTGACCTCGTTCTCATTTCTTCTTCGGAACCCGAGGGTCTCTGTTATATCGAGACCTCCAATCTCGACGGGTATGACTAGTGCTTATATCTCTATCAACCTGGCCACTCATTCTTATTCAGAGAAACAAACCTTAAAATTAAGCAGGCCTCACCTCAAACGTCTTCCCTTACCTCCCCCACGCTCGTTGGTGGTCTTCATGGTTCCCTGCGCTCTGAACAACCCAACAATTCGCTTTACACGTTCGAAGGAACTCTTGACCTCGTGACGGATGCCGGCATGCCAAAGCAGGTACCGCTCGGTCCAGACCAACTCTTGCTTCGAGGAGCACAGCTTCGTAATACGCCGTGGGTTTATGGCCTAGTCGTTTTCACTGGTCATGAAACAAAGTTGATGCGTAACGCAACGTGAGTCCTGAGAAGTGGGGTGTGGTGGTCTTGCTGATGCGCACTCGCGCTTGCTGCTCGATAGCGCTGCCCCTATCAAGCGTACAGCAGTAGAAAAGCAGGTCAACGTGCATATTATCTTCTTGTTTGCCTTCCTCCTCGCGCTTTCGATCGGTTCAACGATCGGTGCTTCCATAAACACTGTGAGAATAATTCCTGAATGCTACGCATATTTCTTCGACTGACGCAACCGCAACACTCGCTGCTGGTAGTGGTTTCTATCGAGTCAACAATGGTATCTGTTCCAGACCACCTCATTTACCGGTCGAGGTATGCAACATCATCAGTGCTCCTATCCTCGTGCTGATTTTTTGTAGCCAAGGCCTTTGTCGAAGGTAAGCTCCTCTATATGCCGTGTGGCTATCATGCTAACACTTTAGTTTCTTCCATTGCGATCTTCATATTGACGTCCAAGACATTCTCACGTTTATCATCCTTTATAATAACCTCATTCCAATATCCCTCATTGTTACAACTGAGGTTGTGAGACTCCAGCATGCTGCACTCATCAGCGCCGACCTTGACATGTACTACGAGGTGCGCGACACACCAGCTGTCGTGAGAACGTCCTCACTGGTAGAGGACCTCGGACGTGTCGAGTTTGTATTTGCAGACAAGACAGGAACGTTGACCAGGAACGAAATGGTGTTTCGGGCGGCCAGTATCGGGGGAGTGGCATATGCCGAGGAGGTAGATCCGGGGCGCGCAAGCGAGGAAGACGGAAGAGAAATATGGAGGACATTCGCAGATCTTCGTGCGTTATTGGAAGGTTCCAGTGGGAGGAGCGACATGGAATCCTCTGCAACCGGCGGCGAACAAGAGCGCGAGCGTGCAAAAGCAGTGGCCCACGAATTCATGACGCTCTTGGCAGTTTGCCATACCGTGATACCTGAAGTGCGAGATGGCAAGATTCACTACCAGGCAAGTAGTCCCGATGAAGCAGCCCTCGTGGCTGGAGCGGAGCTTCTGGAGTATCAGTTCCATGTAAGGACTGCGTTTCTCTCTTTTTCACAAGCTCCCGGTTGACAAAACCGTTCCCCAACCATCTTCCGCGAGTGGGCCATTAGACTCGCAAGCCACGCTCCGCCTTTATCCGCGTTCGTGGCTCCCCCGTCGAATACGAGATCCTGAATGTATGCGAGTTCAACTCATCGCGAAAACGCATGTCAACCGTTGTTCGCGCACCCGACGGCAAGATCAAATTGTACTGCAAAGGCGCCGACACAGTAATCCTTGAACGTCTTGGGAAGCACCAAACATTCACTGAAAAAACGCTATCACATCTTGAGGTAAGCAGTCCGTTTGGCAACTCTTTGCTTCATACAGTTCCCTTCAATATATCTCTTTTGAAAGGACTATGCAACAGAAGGGTTGCGTACGCTCTGTATAGCCTATCGCGATGTCCCTGAAGCAGAGTATCGTCAGTGGTCGACGATATACGACCAAGCCGCTGCAACACTCAGCGGGCGCTCCGAAGCACTCGACAAGGCAGCAGAACTTATTGAGAAAGACCTCATCTTACTTGGCGCGACGGCAATCGAAGACAAACTTCAGGAAGGCGTCCCAGATACCATCCACACGCTACAGATGGCAGGAATCAAGGTATGCCAGCGATAGATTATTGACCCAGGAGTGTTCTTAGTCGGATTATGAAGGTTTGGGTACTAACAGGCGATAGACAAGAGACAGCGATAAACATTGGTATGTCTTGTAGACTAATTGCGGAGTCCATGAATTTGGTGAGTCGGCGAATCATTTCCTGCGTTGTTGAAATTGAAGGCTTTGCCAAGGTCATCGTGAACGAGGAAACATCCCACGATACCGGTGAATTCATCTCCAAGCGACTTTCAGCCATTAAAAACCAACGGAGTACCGGAGAACTAGAGGATCTTGCGCTTATCATCGGTGGGCCACTTCCCAACGCTTGCACTTGTTGTCTCCTATACCTTGGTTGTAGATGGAAAGAGCCTCGGTTTTGCCCTCCAAAAAGAGTTATCCAAGTCCTTCCTTGAACTTGCGCTGCTTTGCAAGGCCGTCATTTGCTGTATGCCACATCACAAGGTCACGATGGTTCTGTAGCTGACCACTCCAGGAAGGCCGTGTTTCTCCCCTTCAGAAAGCCCTTGTCGTGAAACTAGTGAAGAAGAACCAAGACTCGATTCTACTTGCAATAGGTGATGGCGCCAACGATGTGAGCATGATTCAGGCCGCACACGTTGGAATAGGTATATCCGGCCTCGAGGTACGTCGCGTAGCTTTTGTACGGTACTCAACAGCACATTGTTCCGGTTGTAGGGTCTTCAAGCTGCCCGATCTGCTGACGTTGCGATATCGCAGTTTCGTTACCTTAAAAAGCTCCTACTCGTCCATGGAGCTTGGAGTTATCAACGGTTATCCAAACTTATATTGTGTTCGTCTTCTCTTGACAAACCTCTTCGAACCGTGTACTAATGCTCGTCGCCTTTTATTACTAGACTCATTCTACAAGAATATTACCCTCTACATGACTCAATTTTGGGTGTGTTTCTAGGGCTTCTAAATTCGAGGTTGAGGTGCTGACTCCCCCTTCAGTACTCGTTCTTCAACAATTTCTCTGGTCAGATTGCCTACGAATCTTGGACAATCACATTCTTCAACGTCTTGTTTACTGTCCTTCCACCTTTTGTCATCGGTATTTTTGATCAGTTCGTATCTGCACGGGTCTTGGACCGATACCCGCAGTTGTACATGCTGGGCCAGCGGAACGTGTTCTTCACGAAGAGTGTGTTCTGGTTATGGATCGCTAATGCGCTGTATCACAGTTTGGTAGGTGCACTGAAAATTTGTGCGAACCTTCCTTACCTCAGGTCTCGGTGTAGATCCTCTTTGGGTTCTCCGTCATCATCTTTTGGGGTGACCTGAAACAAGCGACCGGGCTTGACTCGGGGCACTGGTTCTGGGGGACGGCACTGTATCTCATTGTACTCCTAACTGTCCTCGGGAAGGCCGCTTTAATCTCAGAGTGAGTTCTTAGTTCTTATGT